GGGTCCTGGGATCGAGCCCCACATCGGGCTCCCTGCTCGGCGGGAAGCCTGCTCCTCCCTCTCCCACTCCCCCTGCTTGTGTTCCTGCTCTTGCTGTGTCTCTCTGTCAAATAAATAAATAAATAAAATCTTTAAAAAAAGGCTCGCTCCTGCTGGTTCTCCCTTTCCCTCATTTCTCTGAGGATGCACACAGTGCCACACACTCTGGTGACAGGCTGAGAATCTGAGTTCAGCAGGAGTATGCTGTGAATAAACGATACAGTGTTACTTCTATCCAACTCCATGTTCCATGCTGGTTGGTGCCCGTCCGCCACCCTCTGGGGACCTGGGTTAACAGCATGGGGTGCATTCCTGGGGACACAAGGCATCTGGCGGGGTGCAGCACGATGGCCCCCTGGGCAGATACGAGGCTGGTGAGATTCTCACACGCACCCCCATTCACCCGCCAGCCCTTGAGAGCCTCCGTGGAAGGGGGTGGTGACATGCTTCCTCTGGCTTCTGAGTCTTCTCCTTGGAAATCATCTTTGCGCCCAGCAGCTTAGAAGCCGCAGAAGAAATCTGGGCTTATGACTGGATTACCATGCCTCGCTCTGTAATAGAAACTGTTTGCCAAGCAGCTTTTGGTTAATTCCACATAGCTCATGGGTCCGCAGAGGACACGCCTGCTAACAAGGCCTGGCTCCGAAGGCCGATTCCCTGCTGTCGAGGCAGGTATCTTCCTCTCCCGCAGGCCAGAATGCCCCCACCTCACAGGGCTGCACAGGCGCCAGCGCCCCAGGACAGCTGGCGGCTCTTCAGGGCGTGGACCGGGGCCTCCAGCACCTCCTGGCCCGCTGGTCACGTGCGAGCACGGTACACACGACCACAGCCGGCTCCCAAATTACTCCCATCAGTGGAGTCAAACATGCAGGTCAAAGTACACTAATATTTTTATATTGTTCTATTTCAAACTGGTAGAATTCAAAAGCACAGAACACGGGTACACAGTGCTTGGATTTTATTTAACATCATGTCCATGATGGGCCAGCTTGGAATCCCCAGTCAGGACAGAGTCACGTGGCCCACAGCTCACCAGGGCCCCCACTCTCCCAGTCCACCCTGTGCTGACATAAGCCAAGGGGCCCCCATAAAGTAGGCGTGGGACTCAGTTCACTTACAGGTTTTTAGAACCCTTATAAAATGGATTCCCAGAGCAGCCGCTTCTCCCAGAAAACTCCCAGGAAACTCCGACAGCGGCGGTGAGCGGGTCAGGGTGGGCTCCTAGGTGCTGGTCTTTGGTTTTGGTCTAAGCTTGCTCCAAACTCTCTCCAGGGCCACTTTTCCCATGAAGAAGGTGATGGCAAAATTACGCTTGTACCAGTCTCTACAGAGAAACACCAGAAGCACATGTGACATCCCCCCAGTAACTGAGGACTAGCGCCCAGGCCCACAGGCAAGTCCTCCTGACTACCCTCCACCTTTCCCACTGTCTCTTCCCTTTTCTGCCCTCATTAAAGCTAAACTGGCCATAAGAGCCTTCCTTCCTCCCCCCAGATTGAATAAGGCTGAGAATAAGGCTCAACAAAGTGAATGCCCAGCGCACCCCAACCCCCACCTTTTCCTATTCTGCTACAATCCTCTGGTTTTTGCTAAAAGACTCCAAAAGAGAAGCCTGGGGCCTCCAGAGTCCCGTGGCATTACTGGAGAGAGACAACTGTTGAGTGATGGGGGCGTAACCACTGGGCAAACAACTGGCAGGACTCAGTGGGGACCATGCTGGTTGGGCATCTTATTTGCATAAGAAGCACAGGACAGAGTACTCCATCGTGAGAAGTTAATTTACCATGACTGCCAACATCATAAAGCTCCACATCCTCTTTTTCTAAATGATCTGAGCTTTTGTGTAATCTGTGTCTCTAAGGAAAGAGTTCCAGAGCTTCTCACACAAATACCGGGATGGAGTTCACAGTCTCAGGCTCACTTGCCCATGAGTTACTGTACAAAACATGCCGAAAATTGCAAATTCACCCCACTGCTCAATGGGCCAAGCTTGGAAAGTTTCCACAACAGAATGCACACATTCCAGACTCTTACGATGCTAAGCCCTTGGAAGCTGAAATGCCAATTAGTACCAATGCTTTTCAGCCAAATGAGCTAATGAGTGCACATGGGACTTTTATTTCAGACTGGACTCAAAGGATTTACTGGGTCTCAGTAGAAAGGAAGGAGAGTGACCAAGGGCTCAAAAGAAGCAGTACCAAGAGGTAAAAGCGCTCCTTTTCTGGAGCCTTTGCAGTGGCTGGATAGAAAACCCCTCTCCTCATGAGAACGATCTTGTTTCTATCCACTTAATTGATGTTATAAATGGGAAGCAGTGCCGTAAATGAACAAGAAAGGCTTCCATCCCATCGAGATTAAAGTTCTTATGCTACTAAGGAACAGCCAGATTCTACTCCATCAATACTCTGACAAAGTGTAGGGAAACTCAGCTTTTCCCGTTTCCATAGGGAAGGCAGGGCAGGAGGTGGCGTGGGCACAGAAGGGGACGCTGAGGCCCTCTGCTACCTGCCATCTGGTAAGGCTGGTCCTCTCTGCTCTGAACCCCACACAGCACACACCCAGCCCACCGGGGATGAGGCGTGGTGCAAACATGATATGGGTCCACGCCAGAAATCAAAGGTCTAGAGAAATAAAACTTATACTGGCTTGACTGAATAACTTAGCTAGCTCAGAGTAACGGACTACACTAACCCACTATGCACATACTGAGAGACTGATCTGTCTGCGTGTTGGTCTCGAGCTCGCCAAGCCTCAACCACTACCACCATCCTTTAGATCTTACCTCCCCTGCCTGGCCTGACACTGCCACTGTTACCTTTTAAAGCACATCTCAAACGTCAGAGCCTATCATTTCTCCTGGAAATACACACTGTGTATCGTTAAAACCCTTTTTGAAAACACGTAACCGCAACACTACCATTGCATTTGATAAAATGAACAATACAACCTAAGATACAGCCACTTTTCAATTTCCTCTAACAAAGTATCTTTTACAGGCGGTTTGTCTGCATCAGGACCCAAGTAAGGACCGTACACTGCATGAAGCCTCTTTTAATCTGAAGTAGATCCCCCTCCTGTTTAAAATTCTAGTTACTGGGGCGCCCGGGCGGCTCAGTCCTTAGGCCTCTGCCTTCGGCTCGGGTCGTGGTCCCAGGGTCCTGGGATCCAGCCCCACATCAGGATCCCTGCTCCGTGGGAAGCCTGCTTCTCCCTCTCCCACTCCCCCTGCTTGTGTTCCCTCTC